TATTAAGAAATTATAAAAAATTAATTTTAAAAAAGATACTAAAAACATTTATGAGAAATATAGTAGAAAAAAGAAAAATAATAAAGAAAAGAGGGGGCGTTTGTGCCAATTTCGAAAACTATAGGGGGGTAATGAAACTATTCACATAATATTTGAATTGAAGTATATTTTAGTCTAGAAGGCATTGACGTAGTAATATAGTAACTTCTGAAATCATAAGGGGTAAGGATACACATTTCCTAACCTCAAGGGGTCATGGTGAAATAGGTCGCTGACTAATAAACTAATACTACTATAATTACAAGTACTTTTTTAAACAAAACATAAAAATATTTAATTTTTGATCTTCATAGTCTTCTTAATCTCATCAACATATGTCAAACAAATATTAATTTCACAAAACATATGTTAAACGAATATTGTTGTTGATGAGACTATTAAATGTGCTTTTAACCACACTTTTTTCGCCACACATAACTAAGGGCCTATTCTTTAGGGCTTGAACAATTAACTTTTAGTTTCTTCCAGTTCCTTCTAGTTTCTTCCAGTTTTTTCCAGTTTCTTCCAGTTCTTCCAGTTCCTTCCAATTTCTTCCAACTTTTCTCATTTTCTTCAAATTCTTTCTACTCCTCAACCAATTACTCTAAAAATGATATATTTTAATGTGATTATTATTATTATTATTATTATTATTACAACTGTTATATTCATAACTATAGTTTATAAATTAGTTTTTTCATCTCACTATTTTTGCGATTCACACGTATTATTTTTTTCAGCTTTTTAATATGAATAAGACATTTTTTTGTATATTAGTCTACATGATAAAACAGGAAAACATCAATATGTTAAATTATACTTAAAAAAATTATGGATAAAATAGTTACATTGAATGTTTTCTTAATATAACTTTTTATAAGACATCTCAGTTTTCCCTTTATTACTTAAAAATTGCTAATTTTTCTAATTTTTATAAAAAAAATTGTAAGTTAAAAGAGCTTAGAGAAAAAGACTAAAATATGAGTAAAACATAAAAAAATGTAAACAAAAAAGTTCTATGTCTTTATTCCAAAAATAGGAATTCAATGAAAATAAAATGTCAATCATGAAAGAAACAATATGTTTGATTATGTGACATGTATGATATTTAAAACAAAATGTTTTAATACATAAATTGTAATTACAAATATATTATTTATAATAAATACTGCATAAATAAATTGAGGTGCAATATAACTACAAAGACTTCTTAAAATTTAATATTTTTATATTTATTCTAATTTTATATTATAATTATTTTTTGCAAAAATAGTTTTTTGTATTTAAAAAATAACAATACTTTTTTTATATCTTAAAGACATTGACTAAGATAACGTGATGATGATTATGATGATGATGATGATGATAATGATGATGATGATGATGTTGATAATAATAATAATAATAATAATAATAATAATAGTAATAATAATAATAATATAACAACAAGAATTTAAAATAAATATTTTTAAAGTTTTTTTAGGTTTTTCAATTTTTTGATGTTTTTCCAGTTTCTTCCAGTTCCTTCCAATTTTTTCCAGTTTCTTCCAACATCCAGCTCTTTTTTTACCATCCTAAAGAACAGGCCCTAAGTGTAGTAAACATTTAATGAGTTTTCAACCTCTCCACATTTTTAAGTGTTCCATCACAAAAAAAATTACTCCCTCCGTCCCTAAATAAAGTTGCTCTTTCGTTTTTTCTTTGTCCCTAAATAAACTTCTCTTTTTCCTTAAAAAACCCCTTTTACCCCTTACTTTTTCATACCTTACTTATCACATCATACCTTTTTACTAATAATCTACCTATCACATCTTACTTTAACACATCACATCAAGGGTATTTTTGAAAAGTCAACACCAAAATATCCCTCCCAAATCCTTAAAAAGTTAAAAATGAAACTTTATTTAGGGACGGAGGGAGTATTTAAAATGCCCAATGTAGTACTCCGTATAACCGTGCAACAAAACCATTTGTATTATTCAGTACGTATTATACTCCAATCCGATTAGATTTACGCAGACCTTCACAGGCTCCCTCCTCATAGCGACGCATCTGATTCTTCGCTCATCAAATAGATGATCAAAATATTGAAATTTGAATTATCATCTTCAATTCATCATCTTCGGTTCGTCAGACACAAAAACAGGAAAGGAATCAAAGAGAAGACGACGTCTAGGTTATGGTTCGAAACCCTAAATCTCGATCATGGATCTTTGAGGCACAAAGCAACAATCAGATGCCGTGATCGAGCACGAACTCAAAGGACGATGTGCTAGAGAAGTTCCCTCGGCGAGAAACTAGTGACGAGATGGTACAGAGACAAAGCCAAATCCACCGTCAGCAATTGTATTCAAGGGTATAATCTCTAAATCTGCGGTTTTTCGTTAGTTTCCTCTTCATTTATGTGTTGATTTTCTGTCCATTATCCACTTCTAGTAATAGTTTGTATGTTTTAGGGATGAGTCTTAATCTGATGGTTTGTGAGTATTGGAAACATGAATGGTAATTTCTTACATTGACGCGTTAATAAAAGCACAAGATTTTATATTCATTCATGGATGACAATGTTATGATGCTACTCAGATGTTGGATAATGGATCACAAGCCTTATGTTGATCTTATGTATACTGCGATGCTGATCTTTCTATTTTCTAGTTTGTGGTGTTAATCGGTTTGTGTATGGTGGAAGCTTTATCATTCTAATGGTTTCTATGGGCCTACCCTGGGATTACATCTAAAGTACTTATCCTTGGAAGAACTTTCTTTATAACATCTGAGATGCTTGAGAGATGATATAGTAAAAAGTGATTGTGTAATAAGTGTTCTCTCAGGTGATTTAAGTTTTATGGTTTTTTAAACTCATTTTTTAGCGATCTATGTTCTTTGTATACAACGGTAGGTATATTTTTAAACTGATTAGTGTTTTATAATTTTTGATCTTCATAGTGTTCTTAATCTCATCAACAATATTCTTTTCAACATCATCCTAGAAATTCTTGGTTAGATTTTGGGATGCATACTCTGCTGTTCTTGGTCCTCCATGGCCATCAAATACACCAAAAACAACCTGATTTTAATCTGTATGTAATCTACCATTGTTCTGTTTATAGTTGTTCATTTTATTTTAGAATGATTTTCATGCGTTATGCTACTGTTCTTGAAGTTAATAACCTACCATGCTTTCAGATTTGATGTTTGGTAGAATAGAGAAGGTAGTTTAGTTAGCCCATTTAACTTGTTGTCATTTTGACTCCCTCACTGGAAGGTAGTTTAGTTAGCCCATTTACATTGTCCTCTTCATTCAGAATGGATGGTATAGTTCAAGGTCAGGTATGGACTACATTGTTTTCTTCAATGAAGGTGACAGTGGACTTGTGTTAACAGTGTGTGTTACAATCTGTGAAAACAATCTAGGTTATGAACTTACTTTTATTTTTATCATTTTGAAACAGAACTGGGAGTATTAAATTCTGTCTTTTTTACCTTCTTAGCATCTTGTTGAAGCAAAACACATATTGTATTCACTTTATAATAATAGTGTAAGCACTTGATATGATGTTTCACAATCCAATGCTGATTTTCTTTTGGGCTGATTTTAAGCTGTAAAAAAATGATGTGTCCCCCATGGTGAGGGAATGGTATGATTAAAGTGAAATTATTATCGTTAAGTTTCTTAAATTCTTTATTTTTTAGATATAAATGATGTTAATACTTGCAAGCTGCTAGTTTATGTAAGAATAACGCAGATCAGAAATTGTTAAATATTGTCCTCCGTGACAAGCTGGAGAAAACAACACATGTAAGTCAATTATATATAGATGATGAACTTAATTTTTTTTGTTTATTTGATAACTAACTGTAAAATGAAGATATATGAATATGATTTTATACTTAACTTTTCACGATATGACTTTAAGCATCACTTTTAGATTAATTTTTACAATATGATGAAAAATTAATACCACAATTGGTTTGGAACCTGTAGGTGCAATGTCAATCAAAGGAGGATAATAGCATGAAGAAAGGGCAATAAGTGGTGGTTCAAGCTTGAAGGGATGGTGTCAACCTAGCTCAACGTACTAATCTTTTTGCACACATTAATATGTTTCTTCTCTTCAATTTAGATACATTTGGAAATATTTATAACTCATGTCTTTAGACACAAAATGTTGGATGATCGACTTATTGTTAAATGTTAGTATCTGAATTCTAATACACTTTTTATTTTTGGATATAAATCAAAAGTTGCGTATATAATATTAAAATAACTTTTATTAATTATTATAATGATTTTGGAATGTGCATGTGTGTGTCTAAAAATGGTAATTGCGACACTTATATGTGTGCGTATAGTTTTTTTCATTATTTTTAAAAAATGATATCTGTAAGACTTATATATGTGGTGTCTTCCGAACACGTCTAAGTGTTGCAAAATAAAATATTACCCGCACATGGCAAGTGTTGCAAAAATATTCATTAGCCACACTTATTTTAAAGTGCGGCAAAAAATTCCCCACATTTACGTAGCCGCACTTAGGTCATGTGTGGCAAATCGTTTTTTCTACATTTATATGTGTGGCGAATAACCATTTTAAGTGCGCCAAAATACCAAATTTCTTGTATATATATACTCCCTCCGTTCTCAAAAACACTTTTTCTTACATTTTTTCCACTTCCAACAAAACACTTCTCTTTTCTATTAAAAAATTACTTTTACCCTTACTTTTTCATACCCTACCTATCACATCATATTTTTTCTCTAATAATAATCTATCCATCACATCAGGGGCAAAATTGGAAATCAACTATAATTTAACACTTGCTTATTTTTGCCCCAAATCAAACTGGAAAGTCTTTTTGCAAACGGGGAGGGAGTATATTATTGTCTAAGCTAAGAGATACGGAGTAGAATAGAAGATATATAGACGTACATATATATAATGTTACGACGATGTAGACTTAATTACATTTGAGCCTTATTATTATTATGCATGAGGTATTCATCATTTATTAAGAAATACATACATATACCAGTCAGTGGACGAACGAATTGAAGAACATTCAACATACTCGGTATATATTTAATTTGTTCATCATTCTTTAATTTAATTTTAGAATACATATATGCATAAATAAAGAAATAGAAGGAGGGGAATGAGCTAGACAAAAGATGTAACAGCCGATTTATAAAAGGATCCGGGGGTCCAATTGGCAGGAATGACGTTCTGGGCAACGAGAGTCTTATTATCTATGTCCACCAGTTTGAAGCAAAAAGGGGCTTTCAGGGGTGTGGAGCTGGGAAGCTTCCATGTGACCCCCCATGAATGTTCCATGGGAAGCCACTCTTCTTGGGAAGCTTGTTTCAGGTAAACTTGTTTTAGTTCGCCTGTGCCGCTCACGTATTGGATCAGTGTTGAAAAGTATTCGGCATTTGCACCTGTATCCACGTGGAAGGTCAGGTCTACCCCCGGGTAGCTACACGTCGTCCTATACATACGTACACCCATGCATTATATATATATATATATATATATATATATATATATATATATATATATACATACATATACATATTGTAATAGGAACATCTATGTATATATCCATGTTAGTTAATAGCAAAACAAACATAATGTAGTTCAGCTTACCTCCTGTATTGAATTTGGAGTTGTCCAACGTTAAGGAGCTGATCAGCTAGGCCAGGCTTTGCCATGGCTCCGAAAGAAGTGCCACTCAGATCAAAATGAGTTGCGGTGGGACTGGTGATCCCCCCGGGGCCTTGATCCGTGATAACTACTCGTATCGGAGTCCCCGAGCACGATGCCTCCACACTAGAGTTGCACCTTATCTCGTAGCAACTTCCACACCCTTTCCCTGAGTTAAACAGTGTAGGACCGCCTGATGACACTAGAGAAGAGAAGGGTGGTTCTGCTACGCTGTTTGTGTATCCACATGCTCCACCTAGTATATATGCATGCATGCATGAGTATAGCCACCAGACCACCACCGTTCACTTATACTACCTCCGTTTCATAAAAGAGTTCCTCTTTTGACTTTGGGAGAAAATAAAAAAGTGTTAAATTGTAGTTGATTTTCCAATTTTGCCCTTGATGTGATGGGTAAAAGTAAGATGTGATAGTTTAGTTGTTAGTGAAAAAGTATGATGTGATAGGTAGGGTATGAAAAGGTAGGGGTAAAAGTGGTTTTTTAATAGAAAGGGGAAGTGTTTTAAGAAAAACAAAAAAAATGAAAGAGGAATGATTTTAAGAAACGGAGGGAGTATTTATTTATATGTTAAACGTCTAATCCAACACCCAAAAATTGAAAAATATATACTCCCTCTCTCCGGAATATATTCTTCCCATTTGACTCTTTTTAGTCAAAGCTTATAAATTTTGACTATGATATATGGATAAATACAATGTATCACGATATAACTTTAATATGAATATATTTCTTTTGATATATAGTTTTCAAATATCAAATTTTTACAAAATATATCTATGTATAAATAAAGATATTAGTGGTCAAAGTACAATCTTGGAGACGGTAAAAAGTCAAATGGGAAGAAAATTTCTGGACGAAGGGAGTATATAAAAGGTTTATGAACCTACTCTTAACTTACATTAATTAATCTCTCAAGGAACCAATTCAACCAAAAGCTCAAGTTTGTGGTTGCAGCCCAAAAACATTTTTATACTCTAACATAATCAATTAGGTTCAATCTTTTTATGTGGTTCAACCCTAAAAGTCTAATAACCTAGTTTAGTGGTCTCTACCCCATTCTATAATTCTATCATGATACACCTCGTTTGTCACGGTCACTGTGTAGACGTTCACTCCTAGCGGCCCTAGTCTTTAACTAAGTTGTTCGTGTGGAATATAATACATATCCAATGGCTTGTGGCATTTAACCCGATTGCTCATCTAAAAGTTCATAATGATCGGCGACTCGTTCTTTAGGTGTTGGCACTCAAAAACACAAGAGGATGTGAATCCATTTGCATATGGTTAACCGGTTAGATTCAAACTGACCTGATTGTCTATTTGAAAGGAAGTGTTAAAGTCTAACCCATCACATTGAAAAACATAAAATAATATAAGACGTTTATAGGCTCTTGAATTAAACTAGTTACTCGATTGTATTCAACTTTTTAATGTAGTTTAACCCAAAGTGTAATCTTATGGTCTAGTCCAGTGATCCCTATCTTATCATAAGATTCTATGATTATAATTCTAGAAAGTATAAAAATATTAATATAATTTATGAATAATGTAAACAAGAATATACCATCGCTTCCGGCACCGGTTCGGTTTCCATACCATGTTGCATCTGCAGGAAGCCATTGGGAATTATCATCAGCTACAGCTTTGACGGTGGTGAATCGCTGGGGATGAAACCAAGTGGTGCAAGAAACCACAATGGTTATAATGAAAAGTACAGCGTTATTAGCCATGATCCTCTCCGATCCGCTTGAGAGCTATCTTAGCTTCAAACAAAGCTACTTAATTTATTACCTAAATAATATTTTCTCGGTCGACCGGTTTGCTATTTATTTAATTTCTATTGTTTTGCGCTTGCTGAATGAATTGTGTGAATTAGGAATCCATGCATGCGTCTTATATAGAGCTTGAGGAGGCTATATACATGCTTGTCATATTTCAACCTTTTTATGTTGAATATGTTTTTTATTTTATTCGAAGGCCAGCATCTCTTTGACAAAAATATTTATTTGTTTCTGTTACGAAATTAATTTCTTTTGTTCTTTTTATTGTGTTTTTCCTATATTCTTTTTCCTACTTAACTTGGATTGGAATTTTTTCTTGTACCCCGTGTATATAAGGGTGTATCTTTTAGTAAAATTTGCACTAAATAGGACTAAAACATAATGACTTTCTTAATGTAGGACTTAAACTTTTTTATTCCATAAATAGGACTTAATAATGACCTAGTGGAAAAAATAATGTCCAGCAATGATGCACATTTAGTTGAATAATGACTTCGTGATAATGACCAAAGGTCCTACATTGGGAAATAAAAACATATGGTCCTATATCGAGAAATTCATTATGTTTTAGTCCTATTTAAGTAAATTTCTCTATCTTTTATTATTCAATAGGATCAATAATTATCAAATTGTATCGATTTGATTTTAAGTGTGTACGTGTTACATGATCAGTATAAAAATGATCAGCTAATTGTGCCGCCGTGCTGAGATTTCTTGTCCACAAAAACAAAAACTGTACGTACGTATTTCATCCATTTTATGGATAGCGCATTAGTGCATGGAGGAGGAGCGATAGGAAAATGTGAAAAAAAATGAGATTGGTTCTCTACAAAAAATTCACCTGTTGGGTTCCATTCTATTTTACACATTATCCTTTAAAATAAGTACTAAATTTGATATTTAACAATCACTTTAATAAGAATTTGAATATTAAAATTAAATATAAATTTATATTAACCTTAAACATATCAAGTAACTAAAATAATGAACAATATTGGGTCCTTAAAGTTTGGTAGCTGTGTATGTGCGGGTGCAAACCCTTTGGGCCATCCATGACTGCATGCCCATATATGACTTGGGCATGAGCGATGCATGTTTAACGTTACTCATCAGATTTATATATATTATTAAAATAAAATATTTCAAAATTATGTTCAAAATAAATTTATTTATATTAAATTTATGACCATTCTATGCATTTCTTCGTAGTTTGAAATCAAAGTTCAAAAAGTATGACTAGCAAAACTAAATTGGAAGGAAAATTTTTAGAAGGGAGTGTGTATATCATATAAATATAATATTTAAAAACTATACTTCAAAATTATTCTATTATAAGTATTAAATTTATTATAATTCAATACTCCCTCCGTTTCTTAAACCTTTCCTCTTTCATTTTTTTTGTTTTTCTTAAAACACTTCCTTTTTCCCATTAAAAACCATTTGTACCCCTACTTTTTCATAACCTATCTCTCACATAATATTTTTTCACTAATAACTAAACTACCACATCTTACTTTTACCCATCACATCAGGGGCAAAATTGGAAAGTCAACTAAAATTACACTTTCCTTATTTTTTCCCAAAGTCAAAACAGGAACCGTTTGGAGAAACGGAAGGAGTATTATTTTTGTAATTTATAATCAAAATTTCAAAATATGAACTAGGGAAATCTAAATACGGAGTAAAAATACCAAAGGGTGATTTATAAATAATACAAAATAAATTAATTAAGAATACAAAATGGAAAAAACATTAAAGCACACATGGTTCACATTTTCTTATCCTCCCGATTATATTAGAACATCTTGGAATGAATTAAGGTGACATGCATTAACAGCGCAATTAATTTCTACCAGTGTTAGACATTTTATAGTATCGGCACGCATTTTTGTTACCGCATGTAATACACTAAGGGTTCGTTTGGTATACGGAATTGATGGAATTGGAATTGAATTGGAATTGAGATTCCATAGGATTCAATTTCATAGAATTGAATTCTACCAATTCCAATTCATTTTTTGCACTATCAATAACAAATCCACATGATTTTTGTGCTACCAAACACCAAAATTGGAATTGAAGTGCTCAATTCCAATTTCATAGTTTGAATTTCATGTACCAAACGGGGCCTAATGGAAAATGCTTGCTTCACAAATAAAATGTTCACAAACTTCACAAACTTACTATTTGTAACTTTAATAAATAAAATTAAATAGTCTAAAATAAATTTAAAATGAAAATTTAAACCATAAATAGTAAGTTTGTGAAGTTTGTGAGTATTCTGTTTGTGAACGTAGCAAAATTGGAAAGTCAACCAAAATTATACTTTTCTTATTTTTCCCCAAAGTCAAAACCGGAAGGATTTTGTGGAACGGAGGGAGTACTAAATTTGATATTTAACAATCACTTTAATAAGAATTTGAATATTAAAATTAAATATAAATTTATATTAACCTTAAACATATCAAGTAACTAATTAAAATAATGAACAATATTGGGTCATCCAATATTGTTCATTATTTTGGGCCATCCATGACTGCATGAGCGATGCATGTTTAACGTTACTGATCAGATTTATATATATTACTCCCTCTGTCCTAAAATTAACTTCTCATTTGATTTTTTACGGTCTCCAATGCGACATTTTGACCATCAATATCTCAATTTTTATATAAATATATTTTATAAAAATTATATATTTGAAAACTATGTTTCAAAATGAATCTATTGCTAATAAATTTATACGAAAATTTAATGTATTTTTTCCGTAATATACGGTCAAAGTTTAAAAAGTTTGACTACAAAAGTCAAAATAAGAAGTTAATTTTAGGACGGAGGAAGTATTAAAATAAAATATTTCAAAATTATGTTCAAAATAAATTTATTTATATTAAATTTATGACCATTCTATGCATTTCTTCGTAGTTTGAAATCAAAGTTCAAAAAGTATGACCAGCAAAACTAAATTGGAAGGAAAATTTTTAGAAGGGAGTGTGTATATCATATAAATATAATATTTAAAAACTATACTTCAAAATTATTCTATTATAAGTATTAAATTTATTATAATTCAATACTCCCTCCGTTTCTTAAAACTCTTCCTCTTTCATTTTTTTTGTTTTTCTTAAAACACTTCTTTTTTCTATTAAAAAACCATTTGTACCCCTACTTTTTCATACCCTATCTATCACATAATACTTTTTCACTAATAACTAAACTACCACATCTTACTTTTACCCATCACATCACGGGCAAAATTGGAAAGTCAACTAAAATTACACTTTCCTTATTTTTCCCCAAAGTCAAAACATGAACCGTTTTGAGAAACAGAATGAGTATTATTTTTGTAATTTATAATCAAAATTTCAAAATATGAACTAGGGAAATCTAAATACGGAGTAAAAATACCAAAGGGTGATTTATAAATAATACAAAATAAATTAATTAAGAATACAAAATGGAAAAAACATTAAAGCACACATGGTTCACATTTTCTTATCCTCCCCGATTATATTAGAACATCTTCGAATGAATTAAGGTGACATGCATTAACAGCGCAATTAATTTCTACCAATGTTAGACATTTTATAGTATCGGCACGCATTTTTGTTACCGCATGTAATTCAATAATGGAAAATTCTTGGTTCACAAACAAAATTTTCACAAACTTCACAAACTTACTATTTGTAACTTTAATAAATAAAATTAAATAGTCTAAAATAAATTTAAAATGAAAATTTAAACCTTAAATTGTAAGTTTGTGAGTATCGTATTTGTGAACGTAGCATTGCTCTACACTAATAATTGTAAAAATAACCAATCGATCGTAATGTAAATGTACGAAAAGTATGCTTTGACAACCAATATGTACAGTTACGTATAGTTAAAAATAACAAATCGACCGTAAGCCTCCAAAGAATAAGGGGCTTTGTCTAACACGGAGAAAATCCGCCATTGTGAGAAAAAAGAGTAAAATCTATCAAATAATCATACCCTAAAATTATTAATGAATAATTATTCAATTAATCAAATTGTTTTGATTAAAATAAATCATCAATATAATCGGCTTTGGATCGAAATAAAATGTATTTTGATATTCAATATCACAATCTAGATAAATCTCATAGAGATAAATCCAATATGTTGGTTATTTGAGTGATCTTGATTGGAAACCAGAGTACAGACCCAAAACAAGAATAAATAAAAAATTTGTTTATGATGAAAATTTTGAAATGAATTATTTATGAGAATAAATGATATGAATTGAATGCGATTTGAATAATGGTCAATTAATTCAAGTTTGACTCTGTCAAAGTCAAACATGCAAAATGACAGAAAAATGTATTACAAATGAATATAAAAATTATATTAGTGAATAGAGTTTGACTGTCTAATCGCAACAGTCCAAACAGATTTCAATTCGGAGAAAATTAAACAAAAAAGTGTACGCTGATTGGGACCAAATTAGAGTGCTATATATGTATTTTGTACGTAGTAATACTTAATGGTGCTATATTGGATGATTTCTAAAAGATTTATCGTGAGTTTCTTTAGGAAGTTAAGCCACAATCATGACACGTTTTTATTATACTCCCCCCGTCCCATAAAGTGTTACCCATTTTGACTAAAATTGAAATTAAGAGAGAGATAATTTTGTGTTGACTTTCCAAAAATACTTTTGATGTGATGGGTAAAAGTAGGATGTGATGTGTAGATTATTAGGAAAAAGGTATGATGTGATAGGTAGGGTTTGAAAAAGTAAGGGGTAAAATTGGTTTTTTAATAGAAATGGGTAAGGGATTGTGGGACACAATTTTTCTGAAACGTGTAAATCTTTTTGGGACGGAGGGAGTACATGTTTTGTACAATTGTATTTCCTTAAGTGTTTTAGAAACTCTTGTTGTACTTATATACTCCCTTCGTTCCTATATATTTGCCACACTTGTATTCCCGAGGTAAATTATCAAGTTTCTTCAATTCATTTTATTTACATATTGGTATAGAAATAAAAAATAAAATTACACATCAAAAAACTACATGAAAAGTTCTTCGAAATAAGAGGTGTCAAGAATATTTTATTTTATCAAATAACCAATGAAAATGTAGAAATAAACAAAGGTTTCCGCGACAGCTTAAAAATCAAATGTTGTAAATATTTTGGGACGGAGGGAGTAGTTATATGGGTTGATTGCATAAATGAAAGCAAGTTATTTAATTCCAAACTTCTACACATAGTTATGTATTTATTTAAAAAAATTCAAATAAACTTTATTATTTTTCGAAAACAAAATTTTATATAAATTTGTTATTCTATCCACCATTTAATGATTTCATTTTACTCCGTATTCTACACATAGTTATGTATTTATTTAAAAAAATTCAAATATACTTTCTTATTTTTCGAATTTTTTTTATATAAATTTGTTATTCTATCCACCATTTAATGATTTCATTTTACTCCGTATTAATCATCAAAATAAACTTTTTATATATATTTTAAAACATGTGCATCTTTATTAACTACGTAATTTATATCGAAACTTTTTGTCATTTTGCATTTCTTATTTCATTACTCTATATATTTTTTTCAACAATTTATATTTGTAAGTTTTCAAGATAGTAAGGGCATGTTCTCATCGATTTATTCTTATTATTTACTCCTTCCAGTTTTAAAAACCTTTCCTGTTTTGACTTTTTTTAATCAAACAGTGACAATCTTTGACAACAAATTAAACATAATCTAAATACATAAATAAATGATACGAAAGTTGATTTATCAAAAATATATCCTAAGATGAACCCAATTAGATTGAATTTACTACTCCCTCCGTCCTAATTCCACCTTCCCACATTGACTTTTTCCCATTTTTAAGGACTCCATATTTTTACCTTTGACTTCCCATTTTGCCCCTTACTAAAAATTTTAGGAAATTTTTTTAAGGCTAACTAAAAAAAGGTTAAAAAAGGGATTTAATAAAGGAAAAAAACATAATAAAACATCTCAAAAGGAAGCAATCCACGGTACATTAAGCCCAAATAGCAAAGGCATCCACTTTTACAAATTTCATGTTCAACCAAATTCAACAAGGAGGGAAAGTTCTAAAAATTTCCCTCCCAAACAAAAACAGAAAATTCCCCCAAAGCCTATTCTATAAATAGCAGCATACTTTCCACTTTTAGAAAGGGAACCCCTAGCCAATTTTTTTCATCCTTAATGTCTGCCCCAGTTCCTGAACCTCCTCCTGCGTTTGCTGCTGCTGCTGCCAGCATCTTGACAGGTACTACGACCATCCCGAGTGCTGCAGCGACCATCCCGGGTGCTGCTGCTGTCCTTCAACCAGGCAGAGATGAGGACCTGCGAAGAGAACAAAGATCATGCAGGACCAGGCTATCAAACAGTCAAAGGCAAAGAATTGTAGAAGCAATTCTACCATATGCAAAAAAAATTCAGGTGAGTACACAGCTCAGAAAGGAATAATCAGCAAGGTTGCTGATGAATTCAATGTTTCCAGAAGAAGCATAGGAGACATATGGAGCAGAGCTAGAAAACAGTTAAAGGAGGGAGTTGCCATTGATGTCAAAAGTAAGGTGTATGGTAATACTGGTAGGAAAAGAGTGGTCATAGATGTTGAATCTATCCCAAACATTCCTCTATCCCAAAGGACAACCATCAGATCACTAGCTGCTGCACTCGGTATGTCTAAATCTACTGTCCATCTTTGCATTAAGAGAGGTTTGCTAAGAAGTCATTCAAAGATTGCAGTTTTGTTTGAATCAGTTAGAACCCACAAGCATCCCTTGTAATCCCAAGTTCAGAAGTTTTCATAATGTTCTCCACATGAATGAAAAATGGTTTTTTATGTCCAAAACATCACAGAAATATTATTTGGCCAACTCTGAAATGGATCCTTACAGAACTTGTAAGTCAAAGAGATTCATCACCAAGGTCATGTTCTTATGTGTTGTTGGTAGACCATTATTTTCAGACAATGGAGAAGTACTGTGGGATGGAAAAATTGGAATATTTCCTTTTGTTGAGACTGTGGCAGCTAAAAGAAAGAGCAAGAATAGAGAGGCTGGGGTTTTTGGAAATGAAACAATTACTCAGTGTTACCAAAGAGGTGACAAAAGATATGTTAGTGAACCAAGTTATACCTGCCATCCATGAGAAATGGCCATCTTTCTTAGACAGAAGCATTGTGCTTCAGCAAGACAATGCCAGACCCCACATTTCTGGGACAAAACAAGACTTCATGACAGCAGGAAATGCAAATGGTTTCAACATTACATTAAGTAACCAACCCCCTAACTCCCCAGACCTAAACATACTTGACTTGGGGTTTTTTAGAGCCATCCAATCTCTGAAAGAGAAGTGTGCTCCAAAAAATGTGGCAGAACTTGTGGAAGCAGTTAGGGGTGCATATGCAGCTCTTACAGCAGAGACATTGAACAAGGTATGGTTAAGCTACCAAGATGTGATGCAGCAAGTTATGAATGATGAAGGAGGAAACAAGTACAAACTACCACATATGGCCAAGGATAGATTGGCTAGACAAGGAGCACTACCAGTGTGTCTAAATGTACCACATACATTGGTGGAGAAGGCAGTAAGGGTCCTTGCCCAAGCTACTGGACAAAGTGAACAGCAAGACCAGCCTGAGTTCATGCCTGAAGATGGAGAAGACTTCTCATCTTCAGAGATGAACTAAGTGNTATTCCTTGTGGGAGAGGAGCCTTGGAATGTGTTGGACCACGCCATCCCCTTGGTCAAAACCAGAGTGGCTGCCCATGTCAAAACCAGGAACCCAGTCTCTGCCCTGCCCCTCCTCTGGCCCAGCCTCCTGCTCTTCATCGGATTCGCTCCCAAATCCTCGCATGGGCTCGTCATCCAACGAGCTTTCCTCATATTCACTATCAGCGATGACTATGCCTGGAGACGGGAGAGTATCAGATTCAGATCCGTCATCATCCATCTGACTCTCTCCGTCCTCAAACACTGAAACTTCTTTCTTTTCCTTCTCGTCTTCTTCCTTCAATCCTTGAAATTGATTTTCGCTCTCACCAATTTCATGAATCTGGGATTTGGATCTCAAATCCACAGAATCCATTTGTAGGCGGAGGAGGGTATAAGGGAAGACTGATTTTAAGATGGAGAGAGGGCGATGAATTTTGAGAGGCGGAGAAGGAGAGACAGAGAGAGAGAGAGGAATAGATAGATCTAGGGTTTAGATAGAGGAAGAGAAGAGCGAAGAAGGAGAGAAGCAGCATGGAGGTGTAAATGCAAATAGGGAAGGGCAGGTGTGGTGTAAATGAGAGGAGGGGTATATTTGTCTTTACACTGCCCTTTTTTGGGTTTGGGAAGGTATTTTTAGGACGAGAAAAAAAGGGAAGTGGGAAGATGGTTTTAGGACGGAGGGAGTAGTTTTTAACCCCGTGCTTCGCACGGGCTTGGGTTATATACGGGTGTTGTTTCCTATTTTGTGAATATATACTTGGTAGACAAAATATATGAATACTCTAAGGCATAATGTGTAATTTTAGTAGAATTAATCATCTTTGTAATTCTTACTTTTTCTTGTCATTTTTTAAGAATTGAGGATTTGAGATAGATTGTAGTGTTTTAGGTTACATTTTTAAAAGGTTTTTTATTCTAAAAAAAGGAAATGTAGAAGGATAGAGGAGTAAACCAAAACCCCTAAAAGAGAATAAAAAGATACAGTGAATGAGTCACCCGAAATCATTTTTACCAAAATCCAAACTTATAAAACTCAAGTCGAGTTCCAACCAAAAACAACAATTGTATTTTTCATTTATTACTTCATTACTAATAGAAAAATAGGAACACCAAAATTTGTGTACAACATTGTACCTTCATCATCATGATCTACCACAATTTAGGCAAACCTAAAGCTCTTTAAAAACCAGACAAACAGTACTAACAGAAGTTGTACAGTGAAACAACATTAAAGTTTTCCAGGTAGATTTTGCTAGCAAAATACCCAACTTTCTTTTTGTACCACCTCTTTAATATATAAGGTGAAGGAAATAACTCTCGACACCAATACGACAACCATATGGTATTCGATTAAGTACAGATTTTAGCATCAATGCGTTGGGTGGACTCCTCTCGGGTCACATGCACTACGGAGCCATTTTTCTGTGTTTTCATAAGGTGGATTATAATTAAATAACACAATCACACATACACAGTGCGAAAGTTTTGTTTTTTAAAATAAATTATCTCTTCATTTCCCATGTATACTAAAATACTTTCCTCCAAAACCTTATTTCCATGAAACTCTGCCTATACGTAGTCTTGTTGTACTGAGTGAGTTTCACTTGGAAAACACACCGATGGCCAGTAAGGTTACCAATAATAGCAGGCAGTTCTTCAGAATATTCAGCCTGTAAAAAGTTGTTTACTATGTTCAAAACTATGCAAAAACACAATTATGATGTCATAACTCCAATAATTATTGATTATTCTAAATACCACTTCCATTTTCTCTTGCATATCGTTCAGTCATGGTAGATTGTCTTATCATCTTCTCTGCAACATCATCGAATATAATGAATCATGTCATTGACTCCAACCTCTCACCTGTGAAAACCACCAGCATAGTGCAGGTAAAGTGAAAGAAGATGAATAGCAAATGCTTTGGAGAAGGGAAACGGTTTTAGTGACCGACAGAGAAGTGCAGATTCCCAAACCGACCATTACAGAGAGAAGAGAGTAATTGTACACAACGACCTCCATCCTCTCACCTGTGAAAACCACAGCGCAACGCAAATCAATAACTCAAAATCGAAATAGCCCTAACGTAGAGCAAAAACTCTAAATCCAAATACCCTATTGGCATGTGACGGGGCAGGAAGTGGAACCAAGTCAGCAAAAACTATCAATGATAGCTGCCTAGTCATTCTACACGTGTAATGGCGGCATAACAAACTATCCAACATAAATTACAAAATGCAAGAATTTTAGACATGTACTAACTAATTACCATCAGCATGGGGTGGGGGGGATAGATATGCAAGTGAAAGTGATCAAACATAGTGTTATTCACACTCTTTAGTACGGAGTAGGCAATAAGAGCTTGTTAGCACCAAGACCAGGGACCACACCAGTGGACCTGCCAGCACCCTTTTTTATCCTTCCATCAAAGGTATCAAGCCCTAATTGCTCCAAAACCTGATTTAGATACTGTTGGCAAGCTCAAAAAACACATTTACGAAGGGATGAAGATGAGGGCTCAATTGAGTCTCCAATATGTGGTCATATCTATAGCAATAAACACAACAAAGAATCGTTGGTACTCTATGAGGCCATATTTATACAATAGAAGAAAATATTGACATCAATGATAGAGGGCACAAAAATTATAACATAGTACAAAGGTTTGGATTCATTTTCCACATGATTGATGAACTCATTTATGTCACCTAACCCCCTTACTGGTTCTTCTCCCCTTCTAATCATGTATTCAGTATTCTATACATAAGTGTCTTGCTGCATTCCCTTTCCTTGATTTTCACTTTAACTACTAATTCCTTTTTTCTAGATTTTTTAATTTTCAAATTGATTCCTGGTACAAATACTTCTATAAGGGTATAAAATTCCTTTTGTTGTAGTTGTACATTATAACCACTAAAATTTTATTGGATTCAGCATAATGCTATCATCATGTTGAAGATTTTCTCAAAGAATTTAAGCTATAAAGGTTAAGCTTCTTGTCCAAATAGGAATTCTTAGAAACCAGAACACCTAAATTGCCTTCTACAACTAAACGGTCAATGGAACAAAATGGTGAGTAACTACTGATAACGGAACAGTGAAATAATAAAATGCGCTGAATAAAATTGTACCCATAAATAACCATTTTATTGGATATTTCTTTGGAATAGATAATGCAAGCTGAAAAGCTCAACCAGTCAACCTTTAAATGAAATTTCAGATGGACCCTATGTAAAACATGAAGTAAAAATCTGACGTTATGAACTTCAGTGGTGTCACGAAAAAACAATTATTAGTATCTCTTCATATTTAAAAAAGAGCTTACCATTATAAGAGCAGTCCACTAAAAGATATTGGATTATGTCTGATCTACTGCCTTCTCCTTCTGTACCTCTTTGTACTCTTTGAAAAGCCATTCTCTTGAAGCCTGAATAAAATAACATAAACTTAAACAAAAATTCTCAAATATAGGTGGGCTTTGAAGATCCATATTGAAATTCTATCCTATAAAAAATAGAAGAATATCAATTCTGATGCGACTACCTGATGATGTATTTTCCAAGTTTCTTTCGTTAGACGAAAGGCCTGAGACCACATAAAGGTTGTAGCAGGCATCAAGGTTTTTTCTTTTTTAATGTTGAAATGTTCTTAAAGCCCAATAAAATTTTAAGTTCATGCTACAAAATAAAATAGGGGAATTAAAGAAATAATAAACTAACAATGAACATAAGTGCCTAAGTCATATGTATAATTGAACAAAAATTTAGCATTCAATGGACTGGAAGCTTACATTCACATTAGGATTTAATACACACATTTTCATCCACGTGTAGGCAGACAGATCTTGAACCATAGCATGGATTAATATACTCTTTTTACCTTTTTGTTTTGAAGTTCTTGCAAGTGAGCATGAAACTGTTATAAGTTTTATTCACTATCAAATGGTCCACCTAGTCATTATTCCAAGAGATCTCATTGCTTTTCTTCTCTATTTATGATTGTATTTCAGAGAACTCCTTTATTTTCTCCACCTTGGCCCAAAGATTTTCTAAGACATTTGTTACGGCAGAAAATTGTTTCAAATGTCTTGTGAAGCTGCAAATATTAAAGACAAAACAAAAAAAAGGACGGAGTGTTATAAATTTGCAATGCTTGAGTTATAACCCTCAGTGTGACCGTAAAAAAAAATTAATCCCCGATGTGCAGGTCAAATTCCAGCTGGACAAAAAATAACCCTCAGTGTGCAGGACAAAAAAAAACCCTCACTTTAACTCTGTGCTTCAAACGGGCTTGGGTGGGATGCTCTTGTGTGGCAATTGTGTTGTAATTTTTGTGTGCTAGAAATATCTAATAGTGGATCCACATCTTCATGTATTTTCTCCTAATATTTCTTATGCGGGCTGAAATATATAGTACAAAGTTTTGATAGGTCATGTATAAAGAAAACTAAATGAGAACATAGCTTAGCATCATTAAATTCTTGTTATGTATAAACTATTTAAAATAATGAAAAGACATTGGCAGCCCATACCTTAGAGGCCTACTAACTCTAAACATTGCAACTTTCAAAAGTTAGGCCAACAGTGTTGAGTGCTCTAAATCTAAATAGAGATTTTTAATGAATAATTTGGTGCATTATTTCTTGGGAAAATTCATACCAATGTAAGTTCATAGTAACTCCACAGTCAATGATTTTCCATGCTTCAACTCTCATCATTCTTCTTGTATGATATAATGAGTTCAAAATGTCCAATCTACAAAGTTGCAGAATGATGGTCACGAATACAAATGTATATTATTAGGGATTAAAATAGTGGCAATATAAAACACCAACATTACAGCAATAAATCTAAAGAGGGAGAAAAATCTCATAAAGAAATTAAAGAAAGCTAGGCTACGTTTCTGTTTTGTCCCCGTTGAAGAAAGGGTGTGTAGCTTCTGTATTGAAACAAATAAAACTAATGATAAAGATATACATTGTTAACTTACACACTTAAGGGTGAAATTGGAATTGATGCAAGTGACTTAGCAGTCATTAATTGACTTATTAAGAAAAAGGTAGTGGACTATCTTCAGAAGTAATTCAAGCAAGTCATCCATTTGACAACGTCACTACAAATACCAGTGCAATTAGTGACATGGTGAATATGTCCAGAAACTACAATTGAAAGACCATACAGAATTTTAGTATGGGGTGTAGCAAATTAATATGCCTAACTGACTAATAGAGAGATTACTTTACGTGCAAAAAATATGTTATTAAATATGGTCAAAATGTAATAAGAGACATTTACCACTTCATCAATATCAATGCCTCATTGAATGTAAAGGATATGTTTTTGGTGGAACTTTTGAGACATTAACTCAAACACAAACAGTATAATAAATGTATAAAGTCTATTTCGAACTTGAGACAAAGTGCCTTTGTGCTGGGCTACTTCTCACATTGATTGTTGCTTTTGATTTTGTTCCAAACCCCAGTTAGGCTATCACCAGATATATCATTAAAAATAAGAATGATATACAATCTAAATTAAGAAGCAAAAATTCAACTCAACAATATGTAGAAGCAAACTGGCCAAGTTAGCTATCATTTCCTTCAACAATTCCCCAATTTTGGCCTTAGCTTTACCTCTTATCCATATTAAGTCTGGCCAAAATCAAGATACTCAGCTCCCAACTCACTATATTTCTGTCAGACAGTGTTGGGCTATTGTGTTAAATTTCATTGGAGAAGATGAAATTGTAAAACAAACGCGGGAAAATTCCATTAAACTGAAGCTCAAATGTGTCTCTGAAAATCTGCCCTAACGGGGAGGAAGAAACTAGCTATATAAACTACCATAACTAATCAAATAGAAAGTCCAAAAAACAAGGGAAATTAGTTAGAAATGACAGGTGGCACTAAGTGGTTAGAAGTGTAAGCTGACTGCGCAGCTTGATCCTTCACACACCCACTCAAGCTGGGTGTAGGAGAAACCATGCCCAGCTTGGACAACAAAATCTGAAACTTATCAGCAGGTAGAATCTTAGTGAGAACATCAGCAAGTTGATTAGTGGTAGGGAGATAGGAGAGCTGAATTAAGCCTTCAAGAACTTTCTCTCGTATAAAATGACAATCGATGTCGATGTGTTTGGTTCTCTCATGAAAAACTGGGTTCTTGGCAATATGAAGTGCTGATTGGTTATCACAATGAAGTGTGATTGGCTTGAGATTGGAGATACGTAGTTCTTCTAGTAAGCGCAGCAACCAGGTAACCTCTGAAGCAGCCTAAGACATGGCCCTATACTCAGCTTCAGAAGAAGATTTGGAAATAGTGCTTTGTTTCTTGGACTTCCATGAAATTGGAGAACCTCCAAAAAGGACAATATAGCCAGTAACAGGTCTTCTAGAGAAGGGACAGGAGGCCCAATCAGAATCAGAAAAGGCATGAAGAGATAACTGGTCAGAAGCTTTCATTAGAATGCCTTGATTTATGGTACCAAGTAAGTAATGAAGAAGATGAATGGCACCCTTCATGTGATCAGCCTCAGGAGCTTGCATGAACTGACTTAAGATCTGGACTGAATATGAGATATCAGGCCTGGTGTGTG